GAAATTAATATGCTTCTTCAAAGAAATCAGAATGAAAATTGGAAGGTTTTTAAACAATTATAATACCACATATCAAAACTCGTAGGCTGTAGCTAAAGCTGTGTGTACAGATAGAGAAATTCATAGGTTTAGGGGCATAGATTAGAAAGAAAGCCAGCGGGGGTATAGTCGTGCCGTGCATGAAAGAGGGATCTTCAGGTGACGTCGCTGTGTGGACAGCGGAGTGCATTCACCCACAAAGGTGGTCAGCCATCCACAAACTCTTTTTTGGCGGGGGTGGGTACTGGGGATTGAACTCCGGTCCTTGTGTTTGCGTAGCAGGCGCCAAAACCACTGAGCTAAATCCCCGGCCCCACAAACTCTTCATCTAGTGAGAGATTTGGACCAAGATGTAGGAGGCTGCCGCCCTCTTGCTGTAATTTTTTTTTTTAATACGTGCAATGAGTACATTCTTAAAAAAACAATAAAAGTATAGTACATAAGTACTCAAGCCAGTGAGACAGTTACTTATCATCATCACGTATTATATGCTGTACAACATAACTGTAGATGCTCCACTTCCATACAACTGGTGCTGCAGCATTGCCACAAACATGAGTGTGATGTAATGGGTGTGCTATGGCATCATGGTGGCTCAATAGTGCAGGCAACAGGAATTCGGTAGCTCCATTTGTGATCTCCTGGGATCACCACTGTGTATGTAGTGGTTCACTGTTGACCCAAGCAGTACGTAGTGCAACTATTTCACTGCTCTTCAGATCAAATTAAAACTCCTACTATGATTACAAAGTCTTGCATGGTCTGGCTCCTAATTGGAGTTTCATTTTTGTCTCTTCTCTTTTACCACTCTCAGCCATATTGGCCTTCTTTCAGTTCTTTGAATAGACTACTTCTTGCCTCAGGGCCTTTGCATATGCTGAAACTGGTTTGAACCACTTTCCCCTTCCCTCTCTTCCGGCCAACTTCTCATCTTCTAGGAGTCAGTGTGGACATCATTTCCTCAGAGAAGCCTTCTTCAAAGTCCATGTCTAAATGAGGCTCCTCTAACCTAAACCGTAACTCTTTCAGGGCACTCATTACTATAATCAACAGCTGTTTGGGAAATTGCTTGTTGTGCAAATTAATTTTAAAATGATGTTTGTTTCCTTAATGCTCTAAGTTCCTTGCTGACAGTGATTACAGCTGTCTTGCTCATTCTGCATCCCTGGAGCCTAGCATGTGCCTTGGCAAGAAGTACACATTCCATATACGTGTGTTAAGTGAATGAATGAAAACATGGACATCTAGTTTACCATCTAAGTAACCATTCAGTTTACCCAAAGCTGTCTTGGAAGAAAACTCCCGATATTACTGCTGCCAGCAGTTGGTATTTATTTCTATGACATTTACAATGCAATCTACAATCATTTGCTAATCCAAGAAATCTTCCAAAGATTTTTTTGCCCTTGATGTTTAAGGAAAAAAGTTTCTAACTTTACACTGCATACTGTTTACTATGATTGGGAAAAGCCGAAGTATTTTGGAAACTCAATTTATGTATCAAATCTGTTCTATCCCAAGCAGGTGCTGTGAACGTGATTCAAATGACTGCCATCATTAATAACAGCACTCAGCCCATTTGGGCTGTTGTAGCACAGTGCTATAGGCGAGGTGCTTAGAAATAACAGACACTCATTTCTCGTGGTGCTGGACACTGGGACGCCCAGATCGAGGCGCAGCAGACCCAGAGAGTGGCAGGGTCTTGCTTCCTGGTTCATAGATGGTGCTTTCTTTCTGGTCTTTGCATCGGGGGAGCAGAAGGGGCGTTCTAGCATTAGTTAAGGACACCAGTCCCATTTGTGAGGCCCTACCCTAATGAGGCCTGGCTTGCTCCACACTGATCAGGTTTCTGAGGGCCGCAGATTCAATCTATACCAGTCATGCTAACACCAACAGCAACTGCTGACGTGCTGGGTCTGCTTTCCGGGTGGGTCTTGTATACCCATCACTCAAAGCATTGAGAGGCTGTCCTAGACCAGTAAGTGGCAGGGCTGAGCTGAAATGGGCCAACTCTGCTGCCCAGGCAGGCTCCTAGGGCTCCACCTGCTGCCCATCTCATGCTGAGAGAGGGCCATCGGGGATACAGCCATGCAGAGATCAGGGAAGTACGAGGCTCTGAGCTAAGCTGGAACCCCAGGCTTGACACACAACCAGCTGTGTTAAATCAGCTTTCTGTCATGGTGCCAAAATACGTGAGAAAAATCAGTGTGAAAGGAAGAAAGGTTCCTTTTTGCTCACAGGCTTGGAGGTTTCAGTCTGCAGTCACTTGGGACTGTGGCTTTAGGCCTGTGGCAATGCAGCCCATCATAGTGGGAATGTGTGACAGGAAGTCTGGTTGCCTCATGGACATAGGGAAGCAAAGAACAAAAGAGCAGGGCAGGGCCCAGTATCTCCTCCAAGGGCATAGTACTGGTGGCCTTCTTTTTTTTTAATTTAACTTAATTTAAAGTTTATTGGTACATTTTAGGTATACAATTCAGTTCCATTCATCATTGGGAATTTGTACCTTTACATAATATATCTTGGTTCTTATTTTTCCCCATTCCCCTGCCCTCCCTTCACTCCCTCCACCACCACTTACAAAGACTTAGTTTCCGTTTTTTGCTTTTCTCATATTTATTCCTTTCCTCTACCCTTCCCTCTTCCCCTTCCCTTTTGGACCTTTACTTCCTGTTTCACATTATCTATTATACATTTTGATCCTTATTTACACTTTCAGTTTCTCACACTAGAGAAACTATTTGGTATTTACATATGTCTGTCCTATTTATTTCACTTAAGAGGATGGCCTCAATGTGCATCCATTTAGCTATAAATGTCTCTCGATTCTCATTCTTTAAGGCTGAGTAGTACTGCATTTTATTAAGAAAAAAACCCAAACACCACATCTTCTTTATTCAGTCTCCAGTTGATGGGCATTTGGGCTGTTTCCAAGCTTTAGCTATTACAAACTGTGCTGCTATAATCATGGGTGCACATATATCGCTGTGGTATGAATCTTTTAATTCTTTGGGGAAGATCCCATCCCCAGCAGGGGAATAGCTGGGTCGAATGGGACCTCTTAGCCCTAGTTCTTTGAGGTGTCTCCATACTGATTTCCACAGTGGTTGCACCAGTCTGCACTCCCACCAACAGTGGAGAAGGCTTCCTTCCCTGCTGGCCTCCTCTTAACAGTCTCCCTCTGTTCCAACAGTGCCATGGGCTGAGACTGGCCTACAACAGAAGGCTCTGGAGGACATTCCCGATCCAACTCCACACCAGTATGTAGGGGAGGTGTCCATCCTCTCTGGCCCTGGCTATGTGACTGTCATGTGGAGCTCGCAGTAGCAAATGACAGGAGGGAACCAAGGGGCCTGGCAGAGTACCTACCCCTCACTGATGTGCTCAGGAAAGGCAGCAATTCTTGTCAAGGGACACTGTAAACAAAGGAAACCCTTATACTGCATTTAGACTAGAGATGTGCTTGCATCTGTCTTTCCCTTGCCTTCAGAGGTTGGAAGGATGGAAAAGCCTGTGACGCTGAAGTCAGATTCAGGTATCACAGGGCAATGGTCACTGACTGCAAAGCTGTCTGGCTCCCCAGCCTTCACCCCACCCCACCCCACCCCACCCCACCAGAAGCTCTTTCCTAGGCAGGCAGGCAGGCTGCTCCTCCCTCTAGGTGTACAGGGAGAGGGGCCCCAGGCTGGGCATCTCTCATTGCCAGGGATCACATTACTGCACTGGCTGTCACTTAGCCGCCTCTCTGATGTGGCTGCTCCTCTCCCTTCCCCTCTCCAAGTTGACATTCTGAGTATTTCGAAGTGCTGGCTGGATGAACCTGCTGTACAGGGAAGAAGCCTTCAGAACCAGGCCTCTGAGCTTCCCCCAGTGAGGCCAGGGGCCTGGGCAAGCAGGCGACACCAGCCTGCAGCACACTGGGGTGCCCACCATCCCTGTGGGCTCCCAATGCCACGGGGCTGCTGTTTCCATTCAACCTTTCTTTGTCTCCACTGGCAGGCTGGAAAAGTCTCTTCCTCCCAAGTTCCTACTCTTGCTCTAGTACTTGAAATTTCAAACCTATTGTTTTCTTTTCCCCAAACCCATTCTTTAATTGGTTCTGCCACAGTCTAGTACTGCCCAGCTGCAAGTGTCTCCCACTCAGGAATAAAACCCCCATGATGCTCCCTGTGCTGTTCTGTATCCTTAGGTCTGCTGACTGGACATCTGTACTCACTGTCCTCCTGGCTCCTCTACAGTTCTGTTCAACGTTTGCACAAGTATTTTGTTATCTCCTAGCTCCCCAAACTCCCTGCTGATGTTTCCTTCTCATGGTGCCGGATCCAACCACTCTGTACTGTGATAGATTTGTCTGGTGAATCACCCTGCTTCACTCCTGAGAGGGGTGACTGGGGTCCACTGTGGTCTCTTGGATTCACAGAGACCCTCTTCACACAGAGAACCCCCAAGGTCCACTTCCTCCTCCCAGGGGTCTCCTCTGACTTCCCAGGACCCTGCACTGTGGACCAAGAAGAGCTGCGTTTGTAAGGACACACAGCACACACCTCCCTGCTCCGACATCCTGGCTCAGGGTAGTCAAGGACAGCACAGGAATGTGATAGGTGGGACAGTGCTGGCACTCAGCACTGTGTCACCTGAGCTAGCCATCAGTTTCCCTGAGCCTCAGCTCCTCTGGGGTAGAGCGTGGCCCACTGTGAACTCCATCTGGATGAGGCATGTTGCAGATACCAGCTGCGCAGGAGGCTCCCACTGCAGACATGCTGCAAACCCCGGCCCCGCCCCCAAATCCAAGGGGTCGAAGGCCGGCAGCACCCCTGCCGGATCACTGGGAAGACTGTGCCTGTTCAGCACACACCGGGCCTGAAACAACTGTGGAGTCTGTCTCCGCCCTGCATCAATTTGCCAAGGAGCTACGAAGAACCGAATGCTAATTTGCCCAATTACTGATGACCAATGGTTACCTCAGATTCAGGTAAGAGAGCCCAGGAACAGATGGTTGCCTGTGTTATTAGAGAAATCTGAAATTAGGCAGGTAGCAGCAGGCTTCAAGCCACATGAGAGAAGTTTTACAAATGCAGGCCAAGTTTACAAAGAATAATAAGCAAACTCTTACTTGATTGTGTTCTCTGCTTTTGAAGCTGCCTCGTGGAATTGCTGTGAGGACAGTTTATACATCTCCACGTTCTACAAAGAGAAAAACAGAACTGGTTACCAAAGATTGAAATTTCCTTCTGGCTCCCTCATGGGATGCAACCACGTTAGAAATCGACAGATGCTAATTTCTTGACCAGCATCAAAGCAGACTGGTGATTAATCCACAGCTTGGGTTCTAGCTCCTACCCTGCATCGACCGCTGCTGCAGATCCCAGAATAGCATGAGCTGGAGGAACGCTGTGAGATCCTCCACCCAGGAACAAACCTGCCTGCCACCTGTTTTTGTACATAAAGTTTTACTGGCACATAGCCATACTCATTGTTTACCTGATGTCTACAGCTGCCTGTGTGCTACAATGACAGAGTGGCGTAGTGGTGACAGACTGCATGGCCTACAGAGCCTAAAACATTCACTACCCAGGAAAAACACGCTGAGTTTTATTCTGGTCCAACCCCTGTTTCACAAGTGGACTCTGATGCCCAGAGGGGTGAAGGGAGGTGCTGAAAGCCACACAGCTGGTGCAGTGCCAGCCAGGTGTCTGGATGCCCAGTCTGGGACACACTCTGCTGCCTACCTTGACACCCCGCTCACCAGCACAGAAACCATGGGTCTGGAGCGCTGTAGGGAGGTTGAGAGGACCTGCTGCACACACACCTGCACAGCCAGGTGGCAGGGAGAGACCCACCCGGGCTTGTGTCCTGCTGCCACGTTGTGACTCTGAGTAGTAAGTCACTTAACTTCTCTGTGACTCACAGGCCAGCTGCTCCTGGCCACACAGGCCCAGATCTAGCATTCACCTTTCCCCGTGGAGCCCTAGTCACTTTACTGATTCTCAGAGGAGATGAATCCTGATGCACCTGTCACCACACTGCAAGTGGCAGTGCTACCAGGCCCACAGACAGACACCAAAGTGACAGGGAGAGGCGACATCCCATAGCTGATTCTCATGGGAAGTGGATTCTAGAACACAGCAGTCTAAAACAGAGAAAGGTCAAGTGGTCCCTAGAGGGCCAGGGGTGGAGACAGTGGCCAGACCTCTCCAGTGGACATGAGGAAGACATGTGACATGAGGTAGCAGGTGACATGTGGGGTCTGCCCAAGGCTGGACCCTTCCCAGATCTGACCCCATTTGCTCCGCAAAGCTGCTACAGAGGGATCATCATGCTTTACAGATGAGTGAACAGAAGCTTCAGGCTCATAGGTCGGTCCTTGCATGGAGCTTGCTTAGCAGTGAAGGGACTGTGAAGCCATAGGGCTGTGCTGCCTGGCATGCCTGTGACACAGATAGCCTGACCTGATCATGCGTGCACAAAAGAACCAGCCAGTCTTTAGGCAGGGGACAGTGAGTGGTCCTCAGCTCAAAGCCACACAGGGAGAGCAGTCCATGCATGTGGAAGACAGACAGCTCTGCACACAGGACCTTCCCACATGGACCCACAGGCATGGAGGGCAGGTCTGGGCTGGAACCTGCCACCCTCGGGCTTCCCTACTGCCCCACAGATTCCGAAACATGTTGACTAGAAGGGGTAGCCCCCGAGTGAGAGAACTTGGGGCACATGGCCACTGCCTGGAGCTGGAATTCTGCTCTGGGCTGGGCCCAGGACAGCTAAGGAGGATGGGGCCACTTCCAGGCTTTTCCCTCTCCAGCTGCCTGCTGACAGGGCTTGAGCAAGACACCTCACCTGTCCTCTCTTGTTCCCTCACCTCTGAACCAGGGAGAGAACCTATGCTCCTCAGTGGTGATAAGCAGCGCCAGTTAGGAAATGCCAATGCTCCCAGCACATAGCAGGCATGAAATATAGGTAGGTTTTCTGCCCCCCCCCCTTTGCTGGGCAACACCAAATGCCCAGCACCAGGGTGCTGGTGTTCTCCCCAGAGTCCTCATTTTTAAATCAAGACATTATGACTTTGCCTTGACCAGTCTCACAAGACTGACTGTCCTGGGCAAGGGGGTAAGGACGGAGATGAATGACTCAAATCAGGGCCTCCTCACCTTCCGCACAGGCCTCTTCTGTGACATCGCTGGCAAGGTCATTTTGACTCCCTTGGCCTCTACATTCAGGGGCTGTCAGGATGTGGTGTAGTTCACAGGCCCACACGGTAATTTGGCACTGGCACATGCCAGCTGAGTAAGCCACGTACCTCCTCTGGGCCTTGTTTTCTTAACTGCGAGATAGGGTGACTGAGAGACAGCCGGGCACATGGCTCCCACCCGGTCCAGCAGAAACACTGACTGTGCAGCTGACATTTCAGAAGCTAACATGTGTATTGCCCCTGCTGATCCCGGTCAGCTTCCTTTCCACAAGGCAACCTCATGGCTCAGGCCTTCTCTCTGGGTCAAACCTCTTTTCCTGGAGCTATGCTGCAGGACTCTGGTGTCATGCAGCCATCTTCCAGGCCGTCACCTGTTGACATTGGTCTCAAAGAGAGGACTGTGGCCAAGAGGGGGCTTGGCATGCTGGGGCTGACAGAGATGCTCAGAGCCTATACTCTGGACCCTGTCCCTCCAGGAGCAGCCTGGCCCGAGTGACAGTAACAGGAGCTTGAGTGAGTTGCCAGCTCACAGTCAACATGTGGTCAGCGAGATTTGTCACAGGAAGTACCCACAGGCCAAGAAGTGGTTGTGATTACTCCACTGCAGCTTCCGCTATCAATTCTCAGAATGACTCAGTGAAATTCCCTGTCAAGTCCTCTCTTGTCCTGACCCACCTCACCTTCCTCATCTAATCTGCCTCAGCAGACCCAGAGGGACATATATCCTTGTGACTGCAGCCCCCTTTGTCACAGGAAGGTCTCTGGCCCACAGCTTGAGAGTACAGTGCTGGCTTTCTGTGTTCATGAACCTTCTTGCCCACCTGGCTTTCCTGAGACTGCTGGAGTGGAACAACTCCCTTCTTTAGGAACTAGGCAGGCAGATTCCATGACTAACCACCATCAAGGAGCTCCTAGGAGGACTGGCCACCAAGAGCACTCATCCTGAGAACTCACCAAGTGCCAGAGAATTTCCAGACAAATGCACCTGCTGTGGCCTTGGGGGTGCTCACATAACACAAGGTCATGATCACAGTTGTGCCAGGTGCTGTGGTGTAGCTGAAAGGGCAGCCTGGCAGAAACTATGGGTCAGGCTGTCCCCTTGGGAATTATACCAGAACTAAGGCATCCTTTTTTTTTCTTACATAATTAATGTTTTTGAAAAATTAATACATATAATTTAAATAATAAGAGCAGGCAGGACAATGTTTTTAGTCACTTTCTCATCACTGAGACACAATACCCAATGCCTACAACTTAAAGGAGGATAAGTTTATTTTGGCTCATGTTTTAGTCCACAACTGGATGGCTCTAAAGCAGGACCATATGGAAGAGGAGCATGGAGGAGGAGAATTGCTCATGGCCTGGCAGACAGGAAACAGAGAGTCATGAGAGGAGCTAGGGAGGGAAATATACCCTTCCAGGCCATGTCCCCCATTACCCACCTCTTGCGACTGGGCCCTACCTCCTAATAGCACAATTAGTTATAAACTCATCAGTGGACTAATCTACCCATGTATATAGCATGCCTGTGATACAATTACCTCTCAAAAGCCCTGTCCATGTTTGCACAAGGCTTTGGAGGATTTCTAGATATAAACCATAACACTGTGTCCCTGGCCCCCCAAAGACTCATGTGTATCTGTTTATGAAAAATGCATTTAGTTCATCTCTAAGAGTTGCCAAGTCCCAACAATTTCAGCACTGCTGGAAAGTCCAATTCAAAAGTCTACTCTGAGACTTAAGGCAAATTCTTAGCTGTGAGCTCCTGTAAAACTCAAAAAGAAAGTTAAACACTGACAACCATACAATGGCACAGGATAAACATTCCCATTCCAAAAGGGAGGAATACGTGGGTAAAAATAGGATCAAAGAAAGACTGAGACCCAACAGGGCAAATATTAAATCCTGCAGCTCCATGTCCAGCAGCAATGGTGAAGATATAAGGTCCAAATGGCTTGCATGACCCTGCCCCTACAGCATTGCTGGTGGATGCAGCCTTTATGGCTTTTCTTTTGGGCTGGCTTTGCTCATTCTTTGTGGGTTTTCTCAGATGTTCCATGTTCTTGGCTTCTAAAACTTTTTGGGGTCTCCACTTAAATTTCAGCTTCACACTAACAGTTTCATGCACAGCTCTCTCAGGGGCACACTGCCTGGATTCCCAGGCTTTCTTCTGAAATCTGGCTGGAAGCCTTTCTGATGCCACAACTCTTGCATTCTGCATCCTTATAAAACTAGTACTACATGGATGATGCCAAGGTCTGCTGCCACCTCGAACAGTAGCTGGGCCCTTGAATCATGGCTACAGAGACATCTGAGTGTCTGGATAGCTGAGACACTATGAACTGAATCCCAGGAACAAATTCTCTATATGACCATTCTGGAGCCCCATGCTCTGGGACTCTCTTAAAGTGAAGTCTTTCACTTTTGCAATTTTGAGTCTGTGAAGGGTGGGGCCTTGTTGGTTCCTCACATGTCCTCAAGGGTACTTTTCCTATTGTCCTGTTGTAAAGTACTTGGCTTCCTTTTAATGATAACATTTTTAGCCACAAAGCTCATCTCTGCTCCAACTTTACAGACCCCAACTTTACAGGAGCTTCTTTTCTGGTGAAACTCAAAATTTAAAATCAAGAGCCATTTGCTCTTGATTCTCAATATAGAGCTGGCCAAAAGCCCCCAATGGTACCTATTTCACAGCATGAATGTTGGGCTGCTTTGAAATTTTCTCTGCCAGATTAGCCTGCTGCCCTTAATCTCAGTTTCCCACAAAACCTTCAGGTCATGAGCAAAATGTAGACACACATGATCTGGAGTCCAACTGTCAACGGAGTCCTTATACCCAAATGAAACCTCCTTAGTCTAGTCTTTTGCATCTGTGTTTTAAAAATCAGCATTCTTGTCTTCTGAGATCTGACCAGAATGTTCCATTAAGCTTGGCTGATAGCATTCTGGGGCTGCTTCTCTAGCGGGCATCTACAAACCTTTCCAAACTTCTCCC